GTAGGAGTAGTAGGAGTAGTAGTAGTAGTAGTAGTAGTAGTAATAGTAGCAGTAGCAGTAGCAGTAGCAGTAGCAGTAGCAGTAGCAGTAGTAGCAGTAGTAGTAGTAGTAGTAGTAGTAGTAGTAGTAGTAATCGTAGTAGTAGTAGCCGTAGTAGTAGTAGTAGGGTAGTAGGGTAGTAGGAGTAGTAGGAGTAGTAGTAGTAGTAGTAGTAGTAGTAGTAGCAGTAGTAGTAGTAGGGTAGTAGGGTAGTAGGAGTAGTAGGAGTAGTAGTAGTAGTAGTAGTAGTAGTAGTAGTAGTAGTAGTAGTAGTAGCAGTAGTAGTAGTAGTAGTAGTAGGGTAGTACGTGTAGTAGTAGTAGGGTAGTAGGGTAGTAGGAGTAGTAGGAGTAGTAGTAGTAGTAGTAGTAGTAGTAGTAGTAGTAGTAGTAGTAGTAGTAGTAGTAGTAGTAGTAGTACGGGTAGTACGTGTACGATTGTTATTTATATTATTGCATTGTGTATACTAGTTTTCATTATTAGTGTTCATCGTGCCACTATTATGATTATTAGTTCTATTTTTATCATCATCACCATCACCTTCATCATCCGCATCACCATCATTACTAGCAGTGGTGTTATTGTTCTCCTGTGAATTCTTGACGCTTCGCGTATCCCCACCAGCGCGCCCCAGACAGCCTGATTGACCCACCCTTTGGAACCGTCCTTTGGGCCGCAGATCAAAAAAAGTATCCCCACCACCCCATCCAGTAACGATGCCCAGGCGAATGGAGGTGATCAGGGAAGTGAGGGGGCTGGGGAACCCGTCTTACCCAAGACGGCGAGGATGGAGGAGGAATCGGAGGAGGATGAGGAGGAGGAGGAACTGAAGGAGGAGGAGTGGGAGCGGGAGGAGGGAGGAGGGAGGAGGAGCAATAGGCGGATGAGGAGGAGGAGGAGGAGGAGGAGGAGCAGGACGAGAATGAGGAGGAGGAGGAGGAGAAGGGCGAGCAGAATGGCCAGAGGCCTCTTGGATGCCTCTCGGAGTCTCTTCGGATGTCTCTTGGGAGCGTCCTGAAGGCCTCTTAGGGCGTCTTGGGAGCGTCTTGGCGGTCTCGGAGGCGTCTTGGGGCGTCTTGCGTGCCTCGGGGAGCCTCTTGGGGACCTCTTGGGGCCATCTTGGGGCCATCTTGGGGCCATCTTGGCGCCTCTTGGGGCCTCCTGGGCGCCTCTTGAGGCCATCTTGGAGGCGATCGATCAAAGAAGAGGGTGGGGTTAATTAGCCCCGCCCCTCTAGATCCTCTAAAATCGCCTCTTGGGCTCATCTTTAGGCGCTCTTGGAGCGCTCTTGGGCGCTCTTGGGGCCGTCTTGAGGCTCTCTTGGGCCCCTCTTGGGGCTATCTTGGGCCCTCTTGGAGCCATCTTGAGGCCTCGGAAGGCCATCGGAAGCGAAAAGGCGAGAAAGCACAATTCATTGGTTTTCCTTAGGTTTTCGAAGGATTTTGGCCTCTTAGGGGTCTCCTTGGAAGTCTCGGAGGCCTCTTGGAGTCGTCTTGGGGCGATCTTGGGGCCTCTTGGAGCATCTGGGGAGCCATCTTGAGGCATCTTGGGCTATCTCGAGGCATCTTGGAGGTCATCTTGGCCTCTCCGAGGCCCTCTTGCAGCCGTCTTGGGCCATCTTGGACGCTCCAACGCGTCGCGGAACCCCCCGTCCAGGTCCAGGGGAGGGGGTTAGGGGGAGGGGTAAACCCCTCCCCGAAGGGGAAGGAGGGAAGATGGAAGAGGAAACTCCCTAAACCACCTACGCCTAGAGGGCTGGTGGGATTCTTTTCATCAGCCTTATTCTGGCCATTAGTTTTAGCATTCGTATCAATGTTGTTGGTGCTGATCTTATGTGTCATCTTCTTCTAAATATCACTTAGTTTCTTTTTCGTCTTACATGCTTCTCTCTCTCTCTCTATCCTTCTCTTTCTTTCTCTCCCTTCCTCTTCTCCGTAGCCGCTTGGCTCTTGCCCGCCATTCGGCGGAGTCTGTGGTGGACCTGCAGCGGCCTCCGCGCGCTCGCGGCAGCGCCCCAGCCACCCACATGGCGGAGGGGAAGCGGAGGCAGGAGATTGCGATGCTCCGCATAACGCTCATCGGCGCGTGCAGGAGTGGCAAGACGACCATGGCGAACGTGTTCGTCAACAACATCTACTACGGCAACTACGAGCAGACGAACGAGCTGACGCTGTACTACAGGTATATCCACAGGCGCAGCGCGGGTTGCTGAAGGTGCCCCTGGCCCAAAGTGCCTCTAGCATTTCGCTCTTTTTGGAGCCCCTGGGGCAACCCCGAGAATCCTGGGAGCATCTTGGGGCAGGGGCACTTCTAGCAACACCACAGGCGGAGCGCGGGGTCCGGTCCAGACACCGCCGTGCTGCTCGAGATCGAGGACACTTACGGGTGCGACAGGCCGCGGAGCGCGGAGCACGACTTGCACGTCAAGGACTCGATCTACAACCCCTGGTACCCGCGACAGGACCTGGGGAGGCAATGGCTTATCAGAGGAGGACAAAGTACCGATATTGCTTCCCTTGCCTAGTTTTCGCCATTTCGGGCTTCCTGGGAGGCCCTCGTCGCCACGGCTGGATTCGCCTCGAAAGTCTGGTAAGAACGCACCCTGGGAGAGGTTTGGGGAGTAGCAGTATCGGTGCCTTTTGGTTTCCCCAGTCTAGGCTTCCCAGATTGTGTCCGAGCAGATGGGGTCGGAGAATCGCGCCGCACCGCCGATGCATCGCAGATGCATTGCCAACACATCGTCGATACATCGTCGGTGCATCGGCGACGTTTGCGATGCACTGGCGACGTCGGCGTGGAGACAGTCGGGCTCCACGTCGAGCCGCATCGCCGATGCATCGGCGATGCGGCGCGATCCTCAGACCCCATCTGCTCGGACCCCATCTTGGAGGCCTCTGAATGGCTGCCAGGAGCATGGTGCTCCATGAGATCGGTTCTGGAGGCAGCTTGCTGCTTATCCCATCAGAGGAGGACGAGTTGAGGCAGCGGTAGTTGGCCTTTGGGGGGGCCATCGTCGCCACAGCGGGGCGCAGCATGGAAAGCTGGCGCGTTTGGACCCCAAGAGGGGTCCAGGGACCGACTTTGAGCTGCAGTTGTCTCAACTCGCCCTGCTCCGATATTGCCACCATGCCGCAGGAGGCTCCTCTTGAAACTTTTCTGGTGCCCTTTTGGAGCCCTCACTTGGGGCTCTCTTGGTCCCGTCCGCGGCTGCCCCAGCTTCATGGTTGGGCAACGTAGCTTGAAAGAGGCGCGGGGTGAGTTCCAGTGGGACACCTCGCTGGCGTTGTCATGATAGTTTGCTCGGGTGAAAAGTGAGCAAGGCGTTCCATCCCAGCGCCTCAACGTGGTTAAATCCCCTCAGGCCTGCGGGCCGCAGCCCCTGACCCAGACCGCAGTGGAAACAAGCCTCTTATGGCTCTTCCTGGCCGCCTTCACGGGCCGGCGCGTGCAAGGCTACGACGCTGCAGCGCAGAGAGGAGGAGGAGAAGGAGGAGAAGGAGGAAGAGGAGGAGGAGGAGGAGGAGGAGAGGTGTGAGAACATGGCAGTGCGACTGGGTGAGGAGCACGGCCATGCAGCACATGAGGCACTGTAGAGTTAGCGCCGCGGGCAAGGGATAATCTTGTTGACAGTTAAGTGTCCGACGCCCGACGGCGTTTGGCTCAAGTATTGTTTTACTCCAGGGGGAAAAGACTTCTACCATACTTTCATGGTGGCGGGGCTCGTGGTTCGCCCCACGTGTTCCAGCGCGTGTTGTTTGTTAAGTCCGCGAAGCAGCTGCCTCCCTGCGATGGCCGCGGCGGCGGCCGCAACAACCTCGCCGAATCTGGGTACACTTTTTTTGATGTGACGTTACCTGAGCTCCGAAATAGCTGGTACAACCAGAGCACGAACCGATTCGCGGAATTGTGCAAGGCTGGTTACGATGATAGAGATCTATAGATCTCAGGTACGTTGCCACCGACCCGACAACCAACCGCGAATGCATGAGGTTGTTCTTCGACCGCAGCGCCACACTGGGTACCAGGACGGTTGACGAGGACGAGGCATTCACGATGTCACAGAGCAGCTACAAAATAAATGTTCTTCTGATATCGGCAATCAACCGCGACATGTACTGCGAGGAACAGTCAAACAATGGAAGGATAAGTTACGACAAGACTCCAACATCAAGCGAACGCCCAGGAACATGTTTCCAGTTTCACCGAGTGTATACGGTCTGCTGGAAGCACGAGGGCCGGAGGCGTTGGAAAACGAACCCGTCAGCGAGCACAAGGCCGTCCATCAGTGAACGATGTTTGCGGGGACCGGACCTAGTTCAGGGAGTGGAGCGAGAAGTTGCTGAACGCATTCGCTCACATGAATCACGGTTATCGGACAACCACGAAAAACATCGGCCTGGCGAAGGACCCAACCATATGCGGTTGTGAACGCTGCATTTGTGAGTATCGTCTCCGGTGGAACTCCTTATGGGGCCACGAAGCGTGTGAGAGATGTGCCGAAATTGATGCGAAACCGGATGCGAACCTTGCCATTGGGGCCTCCGGCGGAGCTCCCTATTGGGCCACGAAGCGTGTGAGGGGTGTGCCAAAATTGGGACGGCACCACATGCGAACCCGGCCACTGGGATCTTCGGCTCAGCTCCCTACGGAGTGGGTGCGGAGCCACATGCGAACCCTGCTATTGAGGCTTTCGGCGGAGCTCCCCATGAGGCGACGAAACGCGTGAAGGTTGCGCCGAAAATGGGGTTGGAACCGCATGCGAACCCTGCCACTGGGCCTTTCGGTGGAGTTCGAGCTCCCATGGGGGCCACGAGACGTGTGACGTATGTGCGTGTGCCGAAATTGGGATGGAATCACATGCGAACCTTGCCAGAGGGGCCTTCGATGGCGCTCTTTATGGGGCCACGAAACGTGTGACGGGTGTGCCGAAATTGGGACGGCACCGCATGCGAACCGTGCCGCTGGCACTTTCGATGGGGTTCCCGAGGGGGCCACGAAACGTGTGAACGGTGTCCCGAAATGGGGGGCGGAACCGCATGCGAACCCTGGCCTTGGGGCCTCCAGTGGAGCTCCGTATAGGGCCACGAAGCGTGTGAGGGGTGTGCTGAAAATGGGACGGAATCGCATGCCAACCCTGCCATGAGGGCCTTCGGTGGAGCTTGTGTGCGGGGTGCAAGGGAGGAGAGGAGGGAGAGGGGGAGGAGCGGGAGGAACGTGGGGCGCTGTCTCTTCAAAACGAGGTCCCAACACCACAGGATGGCTGGGAACGAGCAGCCAGTTCGAAAAGTCATTACCAAAGCTTCGCCTATTTATGCAACCCTCCGCTCTTTTCCCTTGCAGAGTGTTGATAGAGCAAGGATCATGCGGAGGGGCTGTATCCGCAACTGCGGATAACGATTCAAGCAAAAGCGCGCGCGCGCCAGCTGGCCGGGTGGGCCTGCCATGCGCACGCGCATACGGGTGCATCATACATTGCTTAGACTAGTTCCGCTTAATGGACTGATTTAGCCATGTTTTCACCAGTTCACAGTGACAGATTCGCTTCTCGTAAGCTATTAGGAAAAAAACGATCCACAATCGTGACATCCTGTTAATACAAATTCACGTTTGCTTAAGATGACGATAGATAAGCAAAACGCGGGCTATCAGCCGAAAGGTCTTCCACGAGGCCAGGGGGCATTTCTTTCATGAGCTGATGAAAATGACGATGATGATGTTGTTGCTTTTGTTGCACCAGAACATCCACGCTACTTGAAAAGGAGCGGCAAAAATCGTCTTTCAAGGCCCTGACGATGTCAGGGGCCGTCTTTACGCTCATCGCGAAATGCGGGTATGAACATTCTTGTCTCCGTGTCTAGCCGCGACAGCTCTCCCTTCCGGCCGGCTGCGCCTTGGCCAGGAGATGATCGTGACGTAGGCGCAATAATCCCACCCATCGGTGCATCTTCGGACGACGACGCATCTGGCCCCCCCCCCGCGATGCTCATGTCGAGACGCACGAGGAGGGGGCATTCGTCAGGAGCGCGAAACCCTGTCGAGTCCAGTCCGGAATCTGACGCTACTGAAGACCGCTGCGAGGATCCATTCCCTGGGGACATTCCACGGACACCGACGGCGAAACAACCCCGAGACAACATGATGTTGTCAAAGTTGCCGGCGACCAAGCGATCGAGAACGGCGAGCCCGCCGGGGGAGTCGAACTATGCCGGTTTGGGAATGGCTGCAGAGCGACACAACTTTCGCCCGAGGGGACCGGGGCGAGTCACTCGAGGCTACTGGTGGTGAATCCTACCAGGGCCCTTATCTAAAGGACCCGCTCGCCGAGGGCTCGGTCTGGAATATCCGCGAGGTGGCGGGGGCCGCGAGCGACGTCGGGGACGTCGTCGCGATCGGCGCGCACGGCTCGCTCGAATGACTCAAGCTATCGCGTATTAGAAAAACAATGTTTTCACAAAGTGTCGACTGCGCCGACGTCCCAGAGTTCAGATGTCTCGGAGTGCTCGGCATATGCAAGAAGCCCGTTTGCTCGGCGCGCTCAGTGAACTGCCCTGACCCGAATGCGACTTAAGTTTTCTGTGCCTTGGCTGCGTCGTTCTCAGCCGCGCATAATTGCACGGCCTTCCGCTGCCGAGAATGGGAGGAGTTGCGAAAAAGAATCGCGTTATCCTGATGGAAGATCGAGAAGGAGAGATGGCGCACATGCAGGAATAGGTCAGAATCGCTGAGCTCCAGCAGAGGGCGGCGGCAGGCTGCTGCTCGCGCCTGGGAACGCTCTGAGGAACGCCTGCGTCTTGCAATGGTTGACAGAACCGAAGGGGCCCATGCTGAGATGGAAGACGTGGCGCGCCGACTCGAGGCGGCAGAGAGGCAGGCGCGAGCTGTTGCTGAGGTTATTACTGAAAAGGCTGTCCCTGCTGTCCGGGAGGGCAGGCCAAAGGCAGATGGCGGGGGGGATCAGCTGACAGCTGAGCTCAAGACTGCAGTAGCACGCAGTGCGGAAGTGACGTCGGAGGCGCAAATTGAGATTCAGGAAGCGGCCGCCAGCAAAAGAGCCGCTGTCGAAACGGCTAAGCGCACTGGGGACGAGAGCGCAGCTTTGCCGCATGGAGCCCGAGGCGAAGTCGATGACTTTCGACAGCGGAAACGCGCCATCGCTTTGGAGCCAACAGCCTCGTCTGCACGCGCGATCGCCGAGCCTGGGGAAGCTTCGCTGAGAATTCAGATGGTTGAACAGGAAGCCAACGCCGAACTGGGCGCCGCGCCCCGCAACATGGAAGCGGCTGCGACAAAGACACTTTAACAGTGGGAAGCTCGCCGCGAGGCGCAATATAGTGAACTGCCGGAACAACAGATCCAAAACACATTGAGAGAGAACGCCTCAGAGAAAAGACCGCCTGTGCCCATTAGTGCGCCAGGCGGAGCATCGGGCTCCCGCGAAGTAGCGTGCCCGCCTGTTTGCTT